CACATTTAATGGCAAGTTTCGGAAGCGTACGTGTTTGGATTAAAATTGTTCGTTCCTTCCCTTTCATACTTCGTAATAGTTCAAAGACATTCGTGATTACGCGATTCAATCTACAAAGGACTGCCGACAGATTTACGTTGAATTTTGTATTTGATTAACATCGTCATGGATGGTTTGCTTTACATATTGAATACAATATAAGTCATTAATATTTGTTCGTACATTCGTAATAATGTACCGATCGTTAGTTCCAAAAGTTCGTACTGTGTTTAGGTTAGTTTATCATTTACAGGGGCGAAAATTTAGGTATGGGGTGAATAGGCTACAAACCAGTAAAGGTTTCTATTAAAAGTTCCAATTTATGATAAAAATAGTGAGAATAATAACAATTTATCAACAAAATGGCTAATTATTTGCAAAAGCTAATTGAAACTTAGATTAATTTGGATTAATCGAGTAAATCTCTAAACAATGTTAGTTCAAGACTCCCAAATATACAAGATGTTTCAACAATGTCCTAAAAATATTCTACATTTATTAATATTGCTATGACTTGTCTAACATATTGAATGTTATTAAAGTAATAAGCAGTTAGTAATCGATGCTCGTTTTTAAACCTGAAAAGAAAAATGATTCCTAATATTCGATTTAAAATGTTAGAAAATATATTTCATAATATAAAAATTTAACACACACACAACAACAAATTTATGATGATAAGCTTTTGAAAAATTTATCTTACAAACAAAAAAAGTAATTATTATTATTATATTGATGTAGCGATTTTTAAAGATTATGGAAAGAAGTTTGGAAATCAATGTATTGGAATAAAACTTGTCGAAGGTCATTCAACGATCGCTTAATAAAATATACTTAAGCACTTTGATTTTCACCTTGGCAATAGTTAAACCAATTGACACTCAATGCGCGCATCTATAGACAAGAAAAGACCGTGCAGAGCGATTTAAAGTTCCTCGCCTCTAATTACGCGGGAATATTTCCTAATCAGTGCAATTTCACCGGCGCCAGAACGCGCCGACATCATTTTGACCAAGCCATCCACGTACAGTACAAGTATAGTACACGTACATACCACGCCTCGTTCTGCAGTCGATACGATATTCACTTTACCGATTTTCCAGCGTGCGAGGAATCCACTTCGAAAGAACTTCTTATCTTCAGACTAAGAGTATGTTTCTAAAAACATTTGAACATTCTGGAAGTAATCATTCGAATTTATTTCATTATATTTATTAACCCTTAACACTTATAAAAGAACAGAATAGCTCAATATAATACAATGCAATTTCTAAAATAATGTTAAATGTTTAGATATGAAATTAAGGAATACAAAAGGGATAATTCAATCAGTATGATCGTCTGTTGGATACACTGTTTTGATTAGATTGAATTACCAAATAATTGTAGAATTAATTTTTAAAAATTTCCATGGTTTGTTTCACTTATAATACAAATAAGCATCACAATATGGCTTACTCTCTCCCCCTTTATACCATGCAAAGTCTACATAAAACATTTTTCATATTATTACAAACAATAGAGATATTCAAAGTGGACCAAATTATTGTCCCACTTTGTATAATACTTAGTTATAACTTATATCACTTTCCAATTCATTAGCACATTAATATCAAAATTTAAATGAAAATTCCATAGAGTGAGGAAAAATTGCGTTGTGCAAGAGCTACCTTTAGAACATTAAGGGCTCGTCCGGAAGGACAGGTTTTCTTCGGAGGATGCTTCCAAGTTGGATGTAGTACTCGTTGAAATAAGGAGGAAGGGTGGGAGAAAGAACTCCGTTTATTTCTTTTTTCACATTCGTTCCGACCTTGCAAGCCGTGCAAGGACCTTCGCGTTCCTTGACCCCAAAAATCGTTGCTCATCCTACTACTCGACGACGCATCAGTATACAAGCATCGTAACCCCTCGTCACTCTTCTATCCTCGCGTTGCTTTTTCGTTCTGATACAAGAAGACGATCTTAAAGAGTGCTAACCACCCTTAGCTAATGTAAGTCTCCTTCCTTTTCCCTTTTTCTCTTATATTCTTATTTTCTTTTTTTTCGAGTGACTCGTTTTAACGCACTTTCTCTTCTTGTTTCTTTCGTTTTCTCTTTCGATTCTTCTTCTTTCTTTTTGGGCTAACATAAGTCATGTTAAGTGTCAGATTTCGTTTTATCGGGATACGATTTTAAGTTTGATTTCGAAGAGGTTATGTTGCTTGGAAATAATGTGGTCAAGCGTACATATATTAATCATTTGAATAAAACATTTTAATTCATTTTTGATTTATTTAAATAATCGATCCTCTACTGTAATATTAAAAATAAAGATGTGAATCTCGAAATAGAACGTAACATTTAAGATAATCAATTCCAGAATTGAGTACATCGCTGCATCAATTCATAAAAAACTGCTTTAAAACTTTTACAACCCATCTTTATTTTTCTTTCATGCTTAACAACATTACATTTCTCGTTTCCGTGAATTCTTCAAGGATACGTTGAACGCGGTCAGAATGAGCCATTCGAATAAGATTTTGTCAAGAGTCTCGAATCGTTCAATCCTCAATCGCTATGCACAGTGTCGAGTGTCGAGTAGATGGGCGCACGTGCTCAGACGCTTTCTCAATTAGCGTCGATTTACTTGCTTTAGCGTATGTTAGTAGTGGGATTAAGTAACCGATATCCCTCTAATAGAAGTTTAGTGTCAACGTATTATCCCTTTGAACTCCATGAACGCATATATCCGTCCAATGAAAGCTAGTGGATATACTATGAGCGCATATATGAGTTCGGTAGAAGTTACTAGCATGTTTTACATAAATTCTTATCTCTATAAATAGTTTTACGATAATATATATAATAATATAATCAGGGACTTATAAACAAACGAAATATGAAGACATATAATTGGTTATACCTTATTGTTAGTGTACAAATATTTTTGGGAGTCACTGTACGTTGTACCGTTTTTAATGGATTTTCATGGTAAAGGATGTCTCATAAATAAAATCTAGAAGGAATAGCTCGTTAAGTTAGCAGTAGACTCATAAAATGGCGCGAAAGTAATCATAAATAAATCTTTGATAGTAATTTACTTTCACGGTATTCCCCTAAATATAAAAATAGAATTATACTATTGATATTATTACATATCGTTATTATCGTTATGGATATTAAATTATACAAACGAACGTTAACGATCTGTCATAGTTTATTTTATTTCAATTGAATTCGTCCTGTTGCATTAGAAGAAAACTTTTCTTCTTTAGATCGTACTTTCTTTCATGGCGTCTCAGATCTCGACGACTTCCGGGACTTGGATATCTTCACGGCTGGCGCCAAGCGTCCGTTTTCAATTTTATTTCTTCGTCGATCCTAGTCGCCAGCATGATAGTTCTTCCTTCGTAATTGGCCCGTACGATGGATGCGAGTAATTCCTGAGATGGTTCTTCTCTTTCATTCTTTTATCGATAATTACGAACAGTGGCGGCACCTAGCTTCAAATCGTAAGGATGCTACCAACTTCCAACACACGCACACCCCATATACAGTATATATATATATATATATATATATATTTGAAAAAAAAAAATTATTGGTATATATATGGTAAAAAATTAGAGAAAAAAATTCAACACAAATATTACATGATATAATATACAATATATAATAAATATAGTATATAATGAAATTAATGTAGTAATTAATAATACAGTACAAATATATACAGCTTGTTAAAGATGCGTAAAGAAATTATCAAGTAATGAAAAAAAAAAACTTTCTAAGCAAATTATTTGTTGATATTGTAATTATATATTTTTATTTTTATCGAAAATAGCACGAGGATTTAATTCGTAGAATATCAAAACATTCAGGTAACAGAAAATTCGGATAATAAAAAGTAAATTAAAATAAATATCACGTAATGACCCAAAGTAATAATATGTTCAAGATCGATTGACAAACGCAGAATTTCCAAGGATGTTTTCTTCGCATTACGTCGAGTGAGTTTTTACTCTAAGGTCATTACCTGTACCTGTTACCACTAGTCTTCTCTCTGACGAGAAAGAAGTAAGATCAATGGCGTCGGCGTTGATATCAACGCGTCTCGACAATTTTTTTCTTCTTCTCTTATAACAGATCGTTTTTCAAAGGAACGCAAACTCCTCTAAGGTACAACTAGGTATGCCTCGAGTTATTTGATAACAGGCTCCGAGGAAAAGTACTCATTCCTTTCTGTTTTTTTCTTTCTTTCTTTATTTATCTACCGAGAAGGAAGAAGCATCGAAGAGTGAACGATCCAGACTTCGTTACGGCTATGTAAGCCAACATAGAACGCAGAAGTTCTGATCTAACAATAAAAAGATGCCCTCGAGAAAAATTACCGAGTTCCCGTTAACCTATCTGATATCGATCGGCCGTACTTGCGATGCTCTAACATACTTGGGATGACTGTTAAGATTGTTTTTTCTCTGGCCCGAAGATGGTCGTTAATATGTCTCCCTACAAAATCCAATCTGTATAAGTACTTTCGTGAATTCCTTAACGTCTATCACATTTCTTTAAAAAATTTATTGAGTTACGACAAATTATGCTATTTAACAAATTTCAACTATTTTTTTTAAATTTCATTTGCAAAATAGTTATCCTCTTTAATTTTGGAATGCTGATTTCAGTGGAAAAACCTTCAAGAATACCTGAAATATTATTGTATTTATTTCCCTAAGAAATATTTTGGTCAGCAAATAAGAAATTTTCAATTTTGTGAAAACTCTAGTGTGGCATTACACCTTAATAAAAAATCTAAATTACTCAAAAACCTGACATGCTAATACCTTTTTAAAGGCAGACTCGGATTTTTTGGACGGAATTACGTAATAATTGATATTAAACACATCTGCTGCAAAATGGCTGTAAATAAATGAATTCTAGTAGTCTTCTAATTAACTACAGATACAAAATTCGTTGTTTTCCAGGTTTGATGATGGAGTCAGAGAAAAAAATTTTCGAGATGATGAATAAAAAAGCGGCAATGTCCAAATATTGGATGCCGCTTGTCTGGGCCACGAACATTATCAACAGAGCAAGAAAAGAAGCTCTGATCACTAGTGATCAAGTAGTGCAAACCCTCCTTGTCGAACTCAGCGACATCCGGAAAAGGCTTGGCGCATTGATCGGTTACGACACTGTTTGCGTTCCTCTCGTTTACACTCAGGTTAGTAGCCTCGAATTTAATTCAACTATCTAACTTTCTGGCACGTATATTTTGAAAAAGGTTTATTTCATTTATTCATAAATATGTTTATTTTCAAATTTTGTCTTTTGTTTTTATTGATTTTCAGTGAAAAAAAAAGATAAAATTTGAGTATTTTTTGTTAAGGCACATGAGATATTAAAGAAACTATTAAAAATACAAAAATAGTTCAAGACTTAAAAGTTTTAAAGTAATCTACACTTTTTCATTTCTGTTAATTTTAGCGGAAAAAAAATAATGAAATATCAACATTTTTAGAGACACAAGAAAATGGACAAATTATTAAAAATAAAAAAAAACTTAAATCTACAAATGTTCTAACTATTCTCAGTCTTATTAGATTTTTTAAATTAATAATCATTTTTGTCATTGATAAAAATACAAAAAAACTAACGTTTCCATAAGCGATGACTTTTTATATTAATCTTTCGATTTTAAGAATGATGACATAATTCATAACTCGAAGAATTTCCAAAGGTAACATAGATAAAAATTACCATCTCTCTTAACGTAAGGATTATTTTTGGCGTGACTTATTGAGGTAATCGAAAAAAATGACGTTAAAAATAATACTCTAAAATATTAATTAATAATTTACTTCAAAAATATACATGACGTATTGCTTTATACATAGTTTTAATTAGAAATGAAAGTAAGAGAAATATCTGATATTTCTCTCTCTCTCTCTCTCTCTCTCTCTCTCTCTTTTTATCCAATTGAATATATTAAAAACATACTTTACGTACATAAATCTTAAATTGAAATGAATTGCCAAAGAAAATATATAACCATCGATTTATCAGTTTACATAATCGATTAATTACCATTTATTTAAAAAGTTTTGAAAATCATGCACAACAGGTTAAATCCAAGTGTTTTTTTTTCCTGTTTTCTAAGATAAGAAAAAGAAACATAAAAAATAATTATTCTCGGTACGATTAACTCATCGCGTAAGTAGCGGCATCCTCGTACCTATTACGCTGTTGTCCTCCGTCATTGACAGATGTCAAATGTTCGATGCGAACATCTTCATTGAGTTCTGACATTCGTTATTATCTGCATCCATAGTTTCAAAGTCGTCAACAGATGATTTATATTACGTAACTTTTTACTTCGTTATCGCATCGGAAATACTCCGACTGTTTTGCGATTTATCATGGATGCATCACATAGCGGAGAAAACAAAAATAAAAAAATAAATTAAATACACTTTTCTAATTCTTTTCCGATCAATGGAACTCTCTTTGTTTGTTCAATCCCCGCATATTTCGAAAACGTTTCACAATTGCTAATACCTTTTCTTACCTTTTTTATTTTTACTTTTTCTTTTTTAACAAAACTCGTCCTTGCGAGTGATTTTCCAAAGTATATCTTTAGTCGTAGTGACCCTTAAAATGATAAATTCCCTTCCCGGAAAGACAAAATGTTTCGTACTCGCAATTACGTCGATGTTGTGCAAACGTAATTGTTCATCACCTAACGTTCCTAATTGTTGAACACAAATGCCATTATTTTCGCGATATTAAAGAGACGGCTTAGTATGTAATTTGGACTTTACGTGAGTCGCGTCAGGCCATCAAATTCGTCAACTATAAAAGAGGTTAGGATTTTGCGCGATAAATTTATTATTTTTCTTTCCTTTTCTTTTTATTTTTTCTTTTTTTTATTACGTCAGAATAATCACTCCTACGAATCAAAAAGAATATTTGAGTTATTTTATCATTCGTTTAATCTGAAATTCTTGATCACTTGATCCTTGATTTTCATGTAAATCGAAGATTCTAACTATACGGTAGCGATACAATAATAATTAAGATAATAGCAAGTGTTTATTGTTTGACTGATACGAAGCAACCGATCATTTGTTTTTCACCGAGAGAAAAGGTTTTACGTACCAGTGTACGCAAGGAACATATTCTTTCTTACTTATTTCCCCGATAAAGTTTCTCTTGCCGTGAGATAAGCAATACGACGGCACTTCAATGTAATCATTTATTTCGTGATTTACGTCGCTGTTTAATCTTCCATCGGTCGTTAATACTTATACAAGCGTAGCTCAAACTTACAATCAGTATAAAATAACGTTTAAGAATATTGCTTCTTTTATAAGCGTATGTATGTACTTGAAAACTGCCATTTTTACTTCCACAATACTTTACATGAATATTTTTTCCTTATTCATACTACGTTTGTATTTGACTACTTATTTGTCTCCCATTAGGGGACCTCACTTAAGCAGTTAACTCATTTTTCTTATCATCGTCGAAACATTTTTAGTTATGTTCGATATGACTAGAACAAAATGTAGAACCAATTTTCTTATGATTCTTTATGCTAATTATTTTTCTTTTTTTTATCATTATTTTCACTATGCTTGGTGAAATTACAAGAAGGTTACAATGCAAGAGCTCCGACTGCAACAGCATTTCGTTTAATAATACGTTTATAGAACAGTTTAATGCCTGTTTTCCATGTTCACCATTCACCGTACGAGTTTGCACAACAAGTACCTTGATTTTTTTCATTTTTCGCACGACTTTGTATCTCCTCCGGTATAACCAAGGACTATATTAATATCAATAAAATATATCAATGTGGTAATAATTATTGCTGTGAAATAAATAAAAAAATTTTTAATAAATCAATGTTATGATTTATTTATATTATGAGATAAATTACAGAATAAATTATATAAAATTATTATCCACATAGAATTATTAATAACAATATAATGAGTTTTCATGAAATTTAATTAATTTACAAATTATTGAAATTTTAGTTCTGGTAGACATAAACTTCATAGACTACAACCCAGGGTTCCGTTTAATCAAAGGGCTTCTTTTTTAATAAAAAAATAATTCGTATTTTTTTTTTTATTACTGGGTCCCAATGTAAACTATTTACTTCTGAAATAATTAAAAAAAAAAGAAAATAATAAGAATAATAATAAAAGTAGAGAATTGAATTTGTATACCATCAATTTATTTTATACATCAGTTTAGTGAAGCTGTATACACGCAGAGTGTAAAAAGCAACAATAAACACAGTTGGCAGTACATGCATAATGAAGTTGATGCACGTTGCATGGTCAAGGTCGACGGGGAGTTGGCCAGTAATTTAGCGGCAATACGTCACGCCTGAGGGGACCATTTCACGGCGCATTCGAGAGGAATCGGTTAAATTCGTTGTCGCGCACAACGACGAACTTTGATTCCTACCAAACGAGTGGCTTATTTCTTTTCTTTTCTTCTTTTTTGTTCTTTGTCTCTCGGGTAGCTATATAGAGAGAATATGTTGCTTGCTTTTGCATAAACTACCGTTTCCCGATGGCCTTCATCGCGAAAGGCTTGCATGTTGTCCTTGATATTCATTCATACGGGTCGATTCCTTTTTTTAAATGTTACAATCGTCAACAATATTATTGCATTTATTTTCTTTTTGTATCGAGTGAAGGTAAATTATAAGAACTGCAATTTTAAATACATGAAAAAAAAGCAAGTCGTTTCTAAAAATGTTCATGTTTATTGATATCAATGTAATTGGTATTTATGAGAATTCTCTATTGAATATGATATCAACAAAATGGCCACTTCGGCTTTCGTTACCGATGGTGACTCTTTCAACAGAATTTTTAATAACGAATTCACATAAATTGGATACCTTATTGCAACGATTTGAACTAAAGTATGGATTTTATCAAATTGTCTTTTGAAAGAAATTGCTTATTTTTTACAAGCCAAAAAAAATTTAATGTTTTTGTAATTCTAAAGTAAATTATCAAAGAAATTTATTATGAGTATAAAAGTTTACAGTGCTGGTATATTACAATTTTCATAAATTCGAATAATTGAGATAATCGCTTTGGCTTGTGAACGACTCATGTATTAACCTTCCATCAGCAACATTAATCTTTAGGACAAATTCTATGTTTGAATAACTATGTTTATTTTTAATTTGAAGTTGTAATTAACAAAATACACTATTAAAGAACATTCTAAAGATCCTAAAGAGTATTAATAAATCGTTTCAGATTTTTTAAATATTAATAACATTGAAGAAATCCACTCACAGTAGTATTAATAAAATCCACCTTATCTCGGCGGAGGTTTAAAAATATTTTATATTGAATAGTAAAAATTCCTGAAAACTAAAGTATAGTACTTCATACACGTTGGTAAAGATAAATGATTTATCGAAAGATTCATCGGACAAGTGTACAAAAGCAAGCATAATAATTAATGAAAAAATTATTAAAATTCCTAGTTTAACAAAGAGCTTTGTATAGCTGTTCGTATTTCCGATGTCTCGAGCTTATTAATGTGTGACTGTGTTTACTTTTCAGGTAGTTACGCTATCGCTTTATGCATATTTTTTCTCGGCTCTACTCGGTAGACAGTTTATCGAACGTACTGAAGCAGGTGGCGGAAAGTACGAGGAACCAGACATGTATTTCCCTTTTTTCACGGCTCTCCAGGTATAAACAAATAACATTATTGAATTTTATTATTGTTCAATATTTTCATCTGTAAAATTTGTTTGCAGTTCTGTTTTTATGTTGGATGGTTGAAAGTTGCCGAGGTTCTTATAAATCCTTTCGGTGAAGACGACGATGACATCGAATTAAATTGGCTGATTGATCGACACATTAAAGTAAGTGTCTAAAAATTCTTCCATGTTGAATATTAAGGCCGACTCTAGGCTAAAATATCAGAATAGGCACAATGAGTTTGAAGAGTGTCAACATTCTAAAATTAAATTACCAACAATTAACTCTTAAAATGAACAGACCGGTCAAATTAACAATTGTCAAACTTTTGCGTACAATTCTTTACATACGCATATAAGATACTGCATTATTTAAATAAAAGATAGAAAATAAAAAAGACAAATGACCAGGCGTTCTAAACTAAATTAATACAGGATTGTACTATATACCTTTGAATATAATTGAACAAATTTAATATGAAAACTAAGAAGATTCTTTGATTAGGCTGGATATATGATCGTCGACGAAATGCATGAAGAGCATCCAGAACTCTTGAAAGATCAATATTGGGACGAAGTAGTTCCTCGAGATCTTCCATACACTGTAGCAAGCGAACAATACCGACGAGAAGAACCTAAAGGTTCAGCGGAGCATTACAAAGTCAAGGAAAGTGATGCTCTTTACGCGAACGTGATGATGGGAACACAAATTCATAGTCACGTGCAGCATCGCAAAGTTCATCAGGACGACATGTATGCGGATTATGTGAGTACGATTGATTATTTGGAATTTATTCCTCTATCTTACTTATTTTCATTAAACATTATAAATATTTGACTTCTTGTAGGAAAGCGTAGATACGCCATTGGTGGAACGAAGGAAGAATTGGCTTCAACGACAAATCACACGAATGGGTTCTGTGCGTAGCTCATCGACAACGTATAGCAGCGGCGGTGGTTTCTTTGCTCGAAATCGTCACAACAGTGTGTACAGTAGCCCTGAAACAGGAGGCTTACCAACAACGACTAACCCAAATTTGAAAATGTCTCTCTATGACCGTCTCGTAGGTCGTAAAAGTATTCGCAGTCAACGAATGGGTAGACAAGGTGTGTATTTTATGTAAGATAGGAGACTATCTAACAACTAAATCTTTCTTTTTACACATTTTATTATAAAGAATGATGTAATCTATCATTAATTAATAATTATTGAATATATACACAAAAAATAAGAAAAGTAACGTCGATTAAACTAATCATTGAGTGTAGAGGAACAAGCATAAGCAAGAAGCACGTTAGCTAATGATATTGCAGCTTCTTGTTTTTACGAGCCATTCAGTATAACGCGGCGTTTATTTTCAAGCCACTCAGAGGACAATAACGTGTCTTTTACGTAACCGTCTCTGACTCGTCTCGAGTATATTGTTAGCATTGTTCTAATGCGTGCAGAAAGGGTATTATATTATTGTAACCAGATCATTTTAAACAATACCGTCGATCTAACTTCATAAAGAAACATCAAATAATCAATTGCAGCAGTTGTAACAGTAATACTCGGAGGAAAGTTAAATTCACGAATTTTTTTTATATTTTCTATTCTATAATTCTGCGTATCAACGCGAATTACGCAATTCGTACACCCATACGACCTTGTATAACCTCATCGATTTCCGCAATTACTTGCCACGTGCCTCGAAAGAAAAAACTCGAGGCCTTGTGCTTCTTTCTTTTCTTTTTCCACTCACTTGCTTTGATATGAAGAAAAAAAAACAAGAAAAAGAGAAAAAAATTGAGAGAAAGAAGAAGAATGCGCGATCCGGTATAATCAAACAATCATCCGCGTTCGTTCTACTGTTAAATGGTGACAAGACAGAATACGGAAAGATTGTAAGTTTCTTTGCTTTGGTCATTGTGTAAATGCAATTGCTCGTAAAATTTTCTTTGGTAGTCATTAACTTTCCTTATGGAATGCTCATATATTTCCTAGAAAATACATATGATTCTTCTGTTTAATCGAAATTTTATTCGAGGAAGTGTCCTCGGTTAATACGGAACTAAAAGAAATGTTAGAAAGCTAACTTATTTTTAATCATAGGTACGATGACGAAATTGAACTCAGTGCCAGTGTCCTTGAAGAACAGGCCACGCATACCGACCCCGGACGTAACAAAGGAGGTGGTCGATCGTGAACAGAGATTGGCTTTGTCGGCAAGCAACACGGCGAACATCGGCGCAGGCGTCGTTGGCGTCATACCAGCGAATGGTCATTATACTACCGACTTGCCGGTGGTCCAGGTGGTTCTTTCACCGATTCAAGAAACTGAGGGGACACCATCGAACGCGAAATCGGGTGCAGCTGCTTTGGCACAGGCAGTATTATCACCAACATTGACGAGCGCTGGTTTGGTGGCACCTGTTACTTTGACACCAGTAACTATGAGTCAGCTAACACAGTTGGGTCTAGTCACTACGACATCGGCATCTTCTTACAGACCAACGAATATACAAAACAATAATACGATTCAAGCTACTTTGACTGAGGTCAACAGTAGTGAGGAAGAAGGTTCAGGAAGTGGAAGTTCCAGTAGTAGAAGTGAGAGTATCATAGAACAAGAAGAAAGAAGTACTCCACTAATTGGCGAGAACACTAGTCCAAATATTAGCAACGGTGGTTCACCCACATTCGACAGTTACAACGACCGTTCACCGATTCTAATGAATCCAGAAAAATTAAGCTATGTAGTAGCATTACCAACAACGCAAGAGAGTCACTTACAAACAGCGATAGAACCACGTGGCAGAAGATCAGCTTCCTTACCTGGTCCACCCGTTGTCCAGCTAAAAGAAGACAGGAGTATGTCATTGCCTCATTCTCCTGGTCTCCAACCAAGAGAAACTCGAGCAGCTTCCGTCTCAAGTAGAAACGATCATCCTAACCTAGATAGACTTGCGATAATTTCGCCAAATCATGACCTGCGACCTAGGACCAATAGTTTCGGTCATGAACTTACCAAGAACAACCAGCAACGTAATCAAGAAACCTCGAGGAAAATCAGCAGTGCTTCTTGCAATAACGCCGCGATAACAACAGCACCGGTCGTACCAAACCAGACAACAGCCACTCCTAGTAAAAGGGGTGAGGTTTATGTTTGACCGAAATTATTCCTTATCAGATTTTGCCCCAATTCCTCTTTAACGTATTCGTGAATTTAAGATCATTAAAAAGACAAGATATTTATCTTCATCTTCCCTCCCATCCGTCCACTATTATAATTTCTTTTGTACATAGTACTAATGGTTAGGCAGGAGTCCGACCATTGAAATTATTTTATAAACAGCATCGATCGCGAGACTATTTGTTATGAATTTATTGTTTTAGGAATACAATTTGTAGCCTCATAGATGATGCTTCGGATTTTGAGTAAATGACTTTAAAGATCAAGTCAATATCCTGTAAATACTATATCTATTTGTGCATATAAATACTAGAAACACTCAACGACATAGTTTAAAATCTCGAACTTTATAATATAAATTATAATGGAAAAATACGAAGATGTATGTTTCCTGTGGGTGTGTGTATGCGTTTGTATGTGGGGATGTGTGCGCGCGCGTTTGTATTTGAATCGTACAAGTATAAAAGTATTTAGAATAAAACTACATCAATTTCATATTCTAAATTGATAACACGATGATGTATATTTTTTATCACATGTGCAATATTGTATTATGTGAATGTAAAGCACAGTCTTTCTTTGCCGTATAGCGTAGAATAAACGAATGCCGATTATTTTAAAATTTCTGTCAAAGTAATTATTAGAATAGATACTAAAGTATAAATAGGAAGAATCTTTAACTTTAATTTTAAACGAATTCTAATGAAGTAAAGCATAGACCATGTTTAGGATAAACTGTAATAGTGTGAATACCGGTACGTTGCAATATAGAATTGATCAATTATGGTATATACAAATATATGAACCATTTGCGTACTTCGTCGTTGTGATATGAATTTTAATACATACCTATTTATATTATACGATACATAATAGAATTGTATTTCGAACGCATATATATATAACGAAATTCAACTGATATGAAAAATATGCATTTTTTCAACAATCGAAGAATCTTTTTTTTCATGATAGGAAGACAATTGCCATATTTATTCAATCCTTTGTATACGTGATACTAGAGAACAATGTATTTCTATGCATTTCTTCGCGTATTAGTGACTATACACGAATGATTATGCTACATAGAAATATTGTATAAAACAGTTTGTATAGTTATCGATATTTTGTAGAAGCCGTATTCTTGAAATCTGTATATCCCTTTCGAATCTTACTTTTGTTTTTTGACAAAGAATCGATAGATAGAAAGAATTATTGTTTTCCAAGGTCAACAAGATCTTGCTAGTATTTCAAAAATGAAATACGAAATAAGGGGGATCGTCAACGATTCAAAAAAAATATGATGTATATATAATATAATATATAATATAATAAAGAAAGTATATAAGAAGATGTTCCAAAAATCGCTTTACCGAATGAAGAAAAAAGAGAGGAAAATTAATATAAAATTAATTATCATAATAATAATATTTTATCTTTCGTGTCAAGACATAATCTTCAATTGCGACTTTATTTTAAAAATGTCTAATTGTTCAGCTTGATACAGCGATTTTGAAGACAACCTATGCATAAAATTATAATAAACTTTATTTACGACTTTTAAAGAATCGTTTTATAGTTGCACGATAAATGAAAAAAACGAGGAGTCAGAATTTAAACAGACAAAGTGTTCAATCGCCGATAAAATAAAATATCGTGATCGGATGAACGTGCATAAGTTTGTCTTATGGCAAACATATTACATATGTGTACATAGTTAACAAATTAAGAATATCGTCTTACGAGTCAACCGATGTCTCGATATTAGAAAAATATAAAATTGTTTGTATGTGTATCTGTATATTTGTAAGTAGTAATGGTAGACGATTTTATCGTTGCTATACGACTCGTGACATGTAATTAATCATAATAGAAGGATATAAATGAGTAACATAGCTTTTCTTTAATATACGCAAGATCAAACGTTGACAAGTTTTATAAATATTATTGCCGATTCGTTAATTGGCTCGATAATTCGTGAAAGCACGAAAAATTAAAGATAATATTTCTTGTCTTTATTTATATAGAACGAACGATGCTATCGATGATTTAACAAATAAATATTTTTTAACATCGCGATCATGTCTTATTGTATTAATGAAGGTTCATCGTGAAGCCGAAAGTTTCACATTTACGAATATTCCGATGGCGAGCGGAGTGTTTCGTATTGTAGATATTTATCTCTTGCAGTATTTCTTTATATATCTGTATATATAAGTAAATCGTCTTATCATCATACGATAATAAATATGATATATACTTATCATACTTTAAGTATTTATTGCTTAAAGTATTATACCGCATTATCATACCGCCTGATAATTATTATTTCAAGCAATAAAAAAAGAAAGCGCGGTTTTTAGTTTTGGATATAGATGATCGTCTCTTTTAAAAAATTAAAAGAAATGTTTCATATTGTATTTTGCCTATTATATTATATGTAATCAAGAATAAAATAAATTTTTTTTAAGTATTGATATTTTATTTTAACATTATAAACAATTTTTTATTAGATAACAAAAAAATAACCAATAACAATAATAATAGTGATCTGTTGTAACTATCTTATCGACTGTTAGTTATGGCTTTCAAACTCATTCAGTTAAACTTTAGTCTCGGTCGATTAGGTATTATATAAACATATAAATGATTTTTTATTACATTAATAAGAAATTATTTATAAACAAAAAAATAATAGTAAAAATAATCAAAGAATACAGAAATACATATAAGTTCGTAATTTCTGTTTTTTATCTAGCCAAATTCATCTTAGTTATGTACGGGCGATAGTAGATACTTAACGCGATAACAGTCCAATACTACCAAAAAATACAGTATTCTACCTATTACAGGTCACTAGTGGCCCCGTTGCTTACTAAGATGGATTTTTTACACGAAAAATGAACTTCTAATGTTCTATATAATTCTATATTGTTTGAAATAATGCTAAAACTGTCTTACCGATTATTGGTAATAGGCTACACATTGTATATTCTTTGTTTGATTCTTGTTTCTATCGATTAAGTATTATATATGTTACAGTCAATGTATTACTGCGGACATTGTATAGAATGCCCAACACTTTTTTCAGTCCCAAAGGGTTTTGGTCAATCTATAAAATGTGATTCAGTGGGGTGTGTTTAGACCATGGAAGGGGAAATGCGTCTCGAGCACCAATTGCAAAGTCTCACTCTCGTCACAGCCAATTGGAAGCTTAACGTTTTATTGCCATGTCAGTAACGCCTCCTCGCAAGCGTTAATTTCTTTATACGATATGATTCAAATTGTAACGTATAACTCTAGAATACCCTTCTAATATTATTAAACGATTTTATAATAAGGTGATCAATTACTGTTGAATCTAAAAATTTGAGGGTAAAAGAAACAAAGAAAGAATTTCAAATATTAATGTACAGTGTGTACACAATATTAGTGACAGTGAGTGGTTTATAGTAAACGAAGAAGTAATAATCAAAAAAGATAAACACGGAAAAGAAAGAAAAAAAACCAACTGAATAGAAAATGAGTGAGGAAGAAAGACAAAATTCAACCAATGACGATATTCTCCAAACTAGAATAAATTTCTGTGAGGAGAAAACAGAAGAGGAAAATAACACTTTAAAAATAAATCACGATACACAAGAAATACTGAGTATAAAAAGTGAAGAATATGAGGAAGAGAGTACGCTAATGTCGACATTTTTTAAAAAGTTGGAAAAATTAACTATAGATTTGACGAAAATAATTTTAGACGAATTAAAAATGTGGAGATCAGTAATAAAAGATAGTATCCAAAACCTAGAAGATACCGAACAAAAGATGGAGCAAGAAGAACTGAAAAAAACATCAGAAGAAATAACGGATAAGTTTATTAAAAAGAAAAAACAGTTAGAAGAAGAAATCAAAATAAGTAGTCAAGCCCAAGAAAAGGAATTACAAGATATGAAACAAGAATGGGAAGGAAAGGAGAGCAAAATAAAGGATAAAAAAGTTAGATTTAAAGAAAGGGTGGAAGAGATAGAGACGAAAGATGATTCGGAAATAAATTAAAAATACAAGACAGAAATATAAGAACTCAAAATATAAAAACTTGAAGCCAGAAATATAATAGACATATTTCTGTAAGAAATAATAAAAAGTGACTACAGCAAAATTGCAAGCGCAAAACAAAAAGTGACAAGGAAAAAAGAAAGATTTAGAAGTAAATAGATTTCGACTTTGATTTGACGGAGGAAAAAATTCAGTACAAAGAAAAATGAAAAGAAAAGCCAAAAAGTAGGCTAATGTTTTGAAATTTAACGGGAATAGAAGAGAAATACCAAGAAGTTGTGAATTTTATAAAAGTTTATAAAAGAATTTCTTCATAAGACTATCCGAAAAATAATTGGAGGAGAGGAAAACAAATAGTTGATTAGAAAAACAGGAAAAATATAGAAATAAGGAACTAATTGTAAATAAAATAATATAACAAATAATGAAATAAGAAAAAGTAAGGTTGTGTATAAAAAAAATTGATAAACAAACAAAAAAATAACATGCAATAATTGATCAATATAGACTTATCATTTTTGATGAATATAAACAAAGTTTTATTTGAAAGAAAAACATGTGTTATAATTAAAATATATAAAATCACTTTACAAGTATAAAAAAAAAACAAATAAATTATTTTATCTTAAAAATTGATTTGATAAAGTAACGTTAAATCAAATATTATTAGAAATGTATTATTTACCAAATATTATCAATTATTTAAATAAAATTTGTGCTATTTTTAGAATGTATGTATACTAATTTTATATTTATTTAGACATATGCTTATATTTTACGATAAGCATTATATATTATATATTATTTCTAATTCATGCATGTATTTTTTTTTCGTAAAGAAATACATTCTAAAAAGTTAGCTGTGTCGATTGGTTAATGTGTTTACATAAATTATGTTACCAAAATGAAGCAATGATCAGTATACTGATGAGCATCGAACACAGAGTATATGCAATTCTTGTAATATTGAATTAAGTTGTAATAAAATGACTTATTTTGTTATAAAATTAATAATTTTACAAATAAGATTTATTTATTTATTTGTAATCAAATGCCAAAATGAAGCAATTACAGATATACTGACAAGTATCAATCACAAATTATTTTTAGCTGTTATAATATTAAATTAAATTGTAATCACACAAATGATAGTTTTATTTTTTTATGTAATTAATAATCTTATTACTAACATTTATTTATTTAATTATTTTTAACGTATCTCCTTTTTTGCGATCTTGTTCTTTTCTCGTAATCATATAAGGGCTGATAACGGTACATCACTTACGCGTATACGTACCGAAGAATGCACATGCAAGAAAACTTATAAATATTGTTGAATTTTTCACGAATCGTTTCATTCTGATCGAAAAACTTATTTTTTACTTCTTACTTTTAAAACAACTAATTTCTAGCACCAGCAGATAGATAATTATGTTATTGTTAAGTATTATTCAGAATATATAAAGTATAAGCCCGAAAATAGTTTACCTCGAAAGATAAGGTAATTAGAACAATAATGATATATATATTTTGTTTTCCGTATTACTACCCAGTCTTGCACAGTCATAAAACTAGCAACTTATCAGTTAGCATAAGTTTGTCTTTTCTAAGGGAACTTACGAGTCCTACGCTAATTTATTTTTATTTTATTCATTAGATTATTCAAAAATATTACGCTATGACGCTGATAAGAACACTCGTGATTATCTCTTTTAGCATATTAACGGCTACAGAGGTAAGTTATTTTAATATATTTTTTTTTAAATTGTTCACTAGTTTAGTATTTGTCCTTATGAATTAAATTGTATCCATTGTATTTAACGAATTCAGTGAATCAAACTAAAATTGAATCCTGATCTTTTATAAGATCTTTGCAACATATGTAGACATTCGTTTTAAATATAAATTAATATTTCATTCTTATTGAATTTTTTAACCATATAAGAAAAGTGTTAAATATTATTAAATAAATATTTAATTATTTTATTTATTTATCAAAAATACATTTCCTTATTATTATTAAAATTAACATTTGTTAGTGTGTTTTTAGTGTTTCATCTTCTTTTTACAAAAACTAAAAAATAAAATTCGAGTTACGATCGTTTCAAAGTTTCTACCGATTCATTTTCAATAACCGTTTTAACGTTAAATGAATTGATAAGAACTGTTAGTCATGTAAAAGCATTTGTACATTTTTATATCAATAGAAACGTAGTAACTGAGTAAATACAGGCTGCCCTCGACTTTCGCGTTTCTACTTTCGTACAATTCGCTATTTCGCATATTTTTAAAGATTCAACTGTTTAATCCTCTGCGATCGGATGTCCCCTCTCAGGGGACATCAGACTAGCCATCAGATGACATTGTTCGGATAGAGAGAACAAAACAGTTTCAGTCTTGCATTAAGGCGTGCGTCAACATATTGTGTATTTTGCTAATTTAGATAAATACTTTAAAACACAGTTTTTGGTGCATATTTTTTTACATCCCACTACTTTCGAACATTCAACATTCGCGCACACTTTCAGGAACCAATTATGTGTGAAAGGCGAGGGCCTAATGTATTCTACTAATTATTATTTTTATGAATTGATAGACAAATTGTACTTTTATCAATAATATATATTGTATAAATCAACAGGCATTCAATTTTACTATTACAAGAATCCTAGACGAGAAAATATTATTAAACAATAACTCAATATTTGACTTTCAAATAGCCGGTGATTTTAATTATAACAAGGTCTATATGATAATAAAAAAACCCATTACGGAAAAAGATGATATTCTCGTAAGTATTCATTAAAATATTTTTGTTTATTTTTTCTATAAGTGAAACAAATCTTTTTCATATTTTGTAGCCAGCATCTTCAAATGATTTAAAACTGTTTTGAAATCAATGCTTATCTCCATATCGATATTAAGATGACTGTTAATGTGTCGGTATCCTTCCTATATAATATTTGACAAATACAATTTAAAAATGAAACATCAAATGCATTCCAATATTATAATTTTGTACAGTATACTTCATTCTTTAACATGTTGCTAAAAACTGACGGCTATAGCCATCCGATCTTTGTGTTTCTGAACACGATCGTCAAATTAAAAGTGTACGGCAACGTGTTAAATCATGTTGTGTTCTTCAATTATTATTTATAATCTTATTTATTTATTACAGATTGATGTAATGGCGGAAAGATTCGACGGTTTGAAATTTCGGTTGGCCGAAAATCCAATTAATCTTTGTAAATTTCTTGCTGAAGAACAATCTATCAATTTCGAACCACATATCCGACAATTTCATTTTTCGAGAGTATTCAATTTCGAAGGTCAACTTTGTCCGATACTACCGGTAAGAGTCAAACTTAATTAGATAATACTAAGAATAAAAATTAGTCTTTACGAAAATTGAAATATAAAATATTAATTTTATAGGGTAGAAGAAAGATACTACCGTATATGTTCCCGAAGAATATAACTCTTTTCAATGACTTAGGTTGCGGGGATTTTGTTTATAATATTAACATAATCACTAGTAGTCCAAACAATCCTGGCGAGCACAAATATTTGATTTCTAGTCGAACGACTGTCAATATAGAGGGTAAAACTTGTTCAAACACTCTTATATAACATTATTTGTAAACAAATTTTATTTTATTGTATAATTTTAAATTCGAGATTGTACAATATGTTAATTGTAACGATCCTTGTAGAACTTATTAAACATTGATAATAAATGTATACATAATAAGAATAATTTTTATTAATAATTATTATCAAATGATTAAAACTGAATTAATTTTAAGAACAATTAGGATCATTGAATAGAAATTAATTAAGCATTAAAGTTTATGAGCAAACAAATCCACATGACTGTACCGAAAACATTAACAATACTTGCATTTCTATAACAGTAGTAAAACGAGAACGATGAGATCGATGTAAAAAAAAAATCGAATAACGGAAAAATTAAAAAAATTGCACGTAATTAACTCAACAATTATTATTTTTTATTTTTTATATCATTATTCTCATATTGTAAATATTTGGAAGATCCCGAAATGTTACGGATGCAAGACGATGTTAATGTCATGCACTTCCCTATAGCCAACATTGTTTCTTACACACAAATGCAAACAATGTTTAATGTCATTGCTTATTTCAAATTTCTAATTGGATATTCTTTTTAAACTAATTGATATTAAAAAATTTTGAATAACAGTGAAAACAAAGGATGACTAACTGTTAAACAAGAAAAATTAACTATTCCCGCTATTTTACAGTCTTACCAACACATGCGATTTTTAATAACAGGTTTTTTCTGTACGTTATTTTTCTATTTGTTTAATTCACTTATTATTAATAAAGCTTCCCAGTTATAAATACGTTATATATGTAATTAATATATTAATGTATTTACTTGTAAATATTATCCACCTTGAATACACCATATCAATAATTTTCAAACAAAAAACTAGTAAGCGTAACGGTATACGATTATACCATGGATTTAATCATTTAACGGAATACTCATTATATGTTCATGAATAATTTACAATAGTTTACAATAATTATTATTACGTAAGTATTTTATGTTAAGTTATATTTATTACTTGTATTTTGTAAGATGCAGTAATTTCTAGGAATTTTCAAGTTTTGGGAACTCTAGAAATAAAAAATTAAACCAGGATACTAATAGGGTAAATTCATATGATACATCTGGCAGTACTGTTTTCTAGTTCCTTGAGTTTAGACGATGACAAGCCATCATGGCACGCGGTTTGAGATGTTGTCGCTGAACATACTGATTTAACGAATTTATCGTGATGTTACAAATTATACTTTCTTTATATTAACTACTTATTTAATCAAGTTTATACGTTTTTTTACTTTACTTTCTGTGTTCATTGAGTTAAAAAAATTAACAAGAAACAATGGTTAAATTAACAGAAGAAATGATTGTGGCACGTACACGAATGTCAGATTTTTCTGCCGTAAAGAAACTCAATTGCTGGTAAGTATTAACAGAACATTTATTTTATCAATAAGTCATTTTTATAATTAATTGAATATAATTTAACTTATAAATTCGAATATTTTGTTTGTATGATTACAATCACTATACAGTGATTTTATTCTTAACTGACTTCACATATTACAAATATGAACTTTTAAATATGTGTATATTATTGTAAATAGCGAAATAATGATTAAAGTTAAACTTCAGGATACTTAATAATCGAGTTATTTTATATACAAATATAATTGTTCTGTTCAAATATGCATATTTACATAGAAGTTATAAGTACTTATTTCTATATATAATTATTTCGTCTAAAATATATATAACTATGATATAAATAAAAAAAAAAACTACAGAGTTAATATCTTTTTTACAGGGGATCAGAATTAACAGATGTAAGCATTTTACGTAAAATGGAAAATGTGGAATTATTGTCATTAAGGTAAGCAGTTTTCTTTTTACTAAATGATTAACATTATATTTATAGATGTATATATAAAAGACTTAAGTTGCCTAAAAAAGAAGTATAGAAATAATAAAATTGAGTGTAGTATTTTAACTGTTAGATTGAAAATTAAAAAAGAGTCGTATGAATTGAAGTATTTTAATGTATTTTCCCATTTTTCAAAAATGTTACCTTCGATATTATACATACTAATCTATGTATGTTGAACCGAAATTTCCAAGAAATACATATATCGATTCGCAGAATTAGATTTTTTGTCAAGTATCTGCATGCATGCGAATTAAAGAAACGTAGCGCAGCAACTATTGACACACAATCGTGGGATTTTACAAAAAATCGAAAAAGTTCATGAATGAGATAATCAAATTGTTACAATAAAAGTCAATTTAAAAGAATTCTCATGTGTGTTATTATAAATCTAGTTTTTCCTTTTTCCTAACCTATCAATCTCGAAATGCAAAAATTTAATTATTAAAATCACACATTAGAACTTAAATTAGAGTAAGAGAAATGTCATATATATGTATATATATTTACATTCTTAAAATTGATTAGTAACAAAGTCATAATGATCATAAAAAGTATCTTTATTTAAAAATAACTTTCATATATCGCATGAAACAATAATGATTATTGTCCAGTCCTACTATGGACATATTTGACAAACGAGTTTGCAATCGCATGTACCACCCACTACAATAAAACCTGTTTCACCCACATGCTAATTTCATATGCAATGTTCTAACTTTAATGGAAATCGTGTCTATTCGTAGTTTTTTGTTTACTTGTTATACCTACTAATATTAATGTAAAATATATATAAATTAGAAATTGTTTGTTTTGTATGTTTTCTATTAATTATTTATATTATTTTGCTATAGAGTTATTTTATTAGTTATTTAATTTTCTTTTGCAGTGTAAACAATATCGACACGCTTGCTGATTTTCAATATTGCCACAATCTACAAAGTCTATTTATTAGAAAGAATAATATCAAAGATCTAAATGAAATTTGTTATCTCCAAGAGTTGCCCAATTTAAGGAATTTATGGCTTGACGAAAATCCTTGTGCAGAAAAAGATGGGTATAGATATTTTTAAATTATTTACACATGCACATTTTTGATTAATTAACGCTTGATAAATATATCGTTTTATCCTTATTATCTGATATGAATAATTAACAGATATCGACTGACTGTTCTCCGAACTTTACCAAATCTCGAAAAGCTAGATAATAAAGTAGTATCTCCAGAAGAAGTGCAAACTGCGTTGTCAAGAGGAAGGGTACTCGTGCATCCGCTTGTTATGGATGAATCTCCGCCACAATCGGAAATGATTAGTCCAGAGGTAAAAAAAGAATCATGTCACATATATAGCATGATTCATTTCAATTATGAATTCTTAAACTAAACTTCCTTATAAATAAATCATTAAATTGCATCTATGTCGAAGCTAATTAAATATTTATTATTAGTATAATGTTTAAAAATGATATTAACAAGTTTTATGATTGTTAACTCATTACAAATAAGGAAGTACCTGTTGAATATATTGAAGAAACACGTGTGGAAAAGCATAGGAGATATAGTTCATCTAGCGACCAGGTAAAATATTTCTAATTTGTTAATGTAGTTAGATGTTCTTTAAACTGCTTTTAACTTATTCATACTACAATTCTTAATTATTTTAATCTAAGAATTATTAAAAGAAAAAATACTAGTATTTGATAAAGTATAAATGACTGATGTATATATATTTATTTATTTTTTCCAGAGAAGTTACGATGAAATGCATCATACACAAGAAGAGTATCATGATTCTGACAGAAGAAATGCAAATTGTAAAACGTCATTAACTCATCATTATGCTCCAAGCAATCAATACGCATATGAGGTAAACTTGTAACTCGTAAGAAATGTAAATTTATGATAGAGTTAATTAGAGAAATTGAAATAATATATACTTTGTATGTTCTGACTATATTTTATATTTTTATTATTTGAATAATGTTATACTAACAGCTTCATAATGGGCAATCAAAAAGTCAGAATAAAGATGAGAACATGTGTACAGAATCTCGCAATTACATTGAGACTTTGGCTACTAACACTCTTGATATATCTAAGGTATTGTTATCACAACTGCGCATAATTTGCAAAGTGTAATTATTTATCTAGATAAATTTGTAGTAGTACATAATAATGCTATAACAATTTGATTTAACACTACAATCATACGAAACATTAAAGTTATAATGCAAAAATTAATCATCTTGAACTATTATCTGATTATCTGAACATCGATTAAAAAGAAGAAGATTCATTATTCCGGTATATACTAAAGTTCAAAATGTGGAATATGCTGAATGATTTTATCTCTCCTTTAGTTCAGATAATCAATATTCTATAGTATTTGTACAAAGCATAAGCTTATATATATTACACTTCATTAAATGTCATATGCTTTGTAGTCAGAACATTATTTATAAGAATTATAATTGCATGTTTATAATCTATTATGTTGCCTGAGAAAATTAATCTGCTCTTTACCATAAAATATAAACTATAAGGAATAATATTGCAGGAAAGCGATGATCAACCAGCAGTTTCAAGACATAACGGAGATTATGATGAGAGACAAGGATATTCTGAATTTGTTAATAATGATGCATCTCAACATTTATATACGTCACCCTCGCCACGTACTCAATACGGTGTTAAATATGAAACTCAAGAAGATAATCGTTTTGACAGAAATAATTACGAGTATGACGATAAGAGGCAATTAGAGTGCGATGAACCATTACCTCAACCGTCGTCTCAACATAGACGAATGCCTACTCATCATAGTACTGAAAGGGTCCGAATTAAAAATCAATATATATATATATATAGTATACAGGGTGTCTGAGTTATGTTTATAGAATATTATAGTCTTATTTTGAGTGTAGAATACACTCACAACGTGTGTACGAAAAAACCTTAGACATCTTATATATAAACAAAATATTCTCTTAAAAATGTAATCTAATTTATTGTAATTTGTGAAATTTAATTTAATACAGGAAGATACAAGTCAAGTGCCTGGTTGGGTAAGACATTCGGATAAGGAAAAATGTAGACCACAATTTCATTATCATAGACGACCAGTTACAAGGGTATGTATTATGTAAAATTCAATATTTTATATCTTATAATTTTTCCTCTTAACTAGTTTCATATTTTAGAACTCAAATATACTCTCTGCCGTATTATGCTTAGTCAAAGAATTGGACTATCCCAGTTTGGAGGTAGTAGAAATGGCAGTTAGAAATCGAATGGATGAATTAGAAGAATGATGTTTCTGACGCCGTCCTCAAAATCTTCAGGGGACGGTTGCCTTTTCTCGTGTTGGCAGTATTACTTCTATACCAAGCCCAGAATTTTCTGACTCGCTCGACTCTAATCAGTGCGTTGATAATGATATGAATTTTAACAACGAACATCGTGTATACAATCATTATGGCATTGATGAAGCTAGTGAAAAATCACAAATGCATAATAGAAATGGATCTACTGAAAACTTTAATTTAAATCGAAATTCAAAAATTTTTTTTAATGATTCGAATCATAGGTTAATCAGGAATAATTCACATACATACAAACTTCGTGATTCAGGATCAGATAATATAACAACGACAACAAATAACAGTGAACATAAAAGACTAAACGACGTTAGAAGAGTAGCAAGCAGCGACAGTATCCCCCGTGGTAACAATAGTGGTGTAAATTTCAATCAAGGGAGCAAAGATCCAAACCAAGATTGTTTAAGACGATCAAAAAGTCCTGACGTTAGAAATGCGATAATGCCACTTCGTTATATTCAGTCATCAAAAGGAACTTGGACGTACAACTTGTAAGTGAAATAATAGAGTAGATTGTTTATTTCTGTCTATGATAACATCAAATGTTTTCAGAGACAGGTCATACAATTAATGAGGATAAAAATAAAAAGAGTACTTAATTAACTATTGCTTCTAAATTACAACGTAAATCATTTGAATATATGCAAGATGGTAAATTATATGTTTTATTTATAAATTAAGGAAACATTGTTCCAAAACAAAAACAGTATTTATTGTACTTATCAAATTTTTGTAATTATAAATTATAAAAATAGCAAATTTTTTCAAAAACATCAATTATTCGTGCTTTGGATTAGAAAATACTAATATATTTGTCAGGCTTGTCATCATTTTGTTAAGACGTAATTAATTAGGTTAATAGAATGAAATATATCTATAAAATACGAACATCGATATTCATCGTAGAGTAAAGAAAATTTTTCTTTTAATCATAATACCTTGATCCAAAAGCATTAAAAAATGCAGTTTCTACATGTGATAGTTAAAAGGTTAGCAAATGCAAAAAATTCAAGACTCTGTACAAAATGTTTAGATTCTTCATGATGCATGTGTGCAATATATTATATATATATAAAGATCTAAATAGAACAGTTAAATGTCTATATTTGCAATGCCTAGCCGTAGACAGCTTCCATATATATGGTTCATTCCACGCCAAAGGGGTCACCTGAAAAAGTGGCCGATTTGGCGTGAAATGATCCATGTGTATATATATATATATTTTAATATGTATAAGAACAATCTAGCGTAAGGAAGTAATTAAAGCAAAGATTAGTAATAAAAGTATCCAAAATTATAATATGAGCAAATGATTCGGTGCTTACTAATAATTTGACAGATGGATTAAAAAATACACATTTATGAATTATATGAAAAAAGCTACTTAAGAATTATAATAAAGTGATGTATAAATTTTAAGATAGAGTAGAATAAAGAATATATTGGTGTTTAAAAAAAAGCATTAGACATAATTAACTATAGACTGATACGCAGAAGTATAAATTTTAGGAAAGATAACTTACATTGTAAACTATTTAGTTAATGAGATTAAAATTAAATCTTTCTATAACTAAAAGAAACTTCAATACGTAACAAGAAATTAATTAGTTATGATATACACGAATAGTTTTATAGAAAATTTTTAAATCTAATGCAATATTTTTCCTTACTCCCAGCCGTCCAGCTTATATATCATTAAATAATTTAAATCCATCATTATTAATATTTACGCGAGATTACAATTATTATTGCTATCGTTATAATTATAGTTATGACTGCTGAATTATTATATGACTGTTATCATTATCATTTTAACTTTTGCGTCATTGTTTCATTATTTTTTGATAATACAATAATAATAATAATAATAATAATATTGCATTTTATTACACAAAGATTTTATGTATATAAGTCAGTTATTTAAAATTATAGTAATTTAATCATGTTACAAAATGCCATTTTTGTTTCTACTAAAAATACATTTCGACGATTAATGAGATTTTCTTAATTAATTAATATTATTTAGTATTATAAGATAACTATATATATATATATATATATATATATTTAACATTCCCAATTTTATATTTCATTGAAGACAAAACAAATGATTATATATAACTACAATAATTTCTAAGGACATATGTGAAATTATTTCAATTTATATACAAACTTGTATGTATACATGCTTTTAGGCATCTTAATTGCGCGAGAGTGCAAATCAGTAGCTTTGAAATAAAAAAAAATTGAAGGTATATAAATTAAAAAAACATTTTATATAGACAAAGTTTAAATAATTTAAAATTTACGTAAAATTATACAAGTTTGAATATTAATTTATACAAATATATAAAAAGGGATGTCTAAACGAATCTGTTTTTTTATTATTATTATTATAAATCACTTATTAAATAATCGATAATAACAAGGACTTAAAACAACAACAAATTATAAAATCATAATCTACAATATGTTTATTCTTTCCTGAATTTTAATTAGAATTTTATATTTAATTAAATTAAATCCTAATAATATTTAATTAGGATTTTATATTAAAAATTTTAGTTGATATTACTAAATATTTTAAGCGCAAACTTACTAACTAAACTAACTTTATTACTATCCTTATTACTACTATCCGTAAACAAATATGTAACAATATTTTTAAATTCTATATTTATTCTTTATTCGCGTGCTACTGTAATAATTAAAAAATTATAAGTTACATGACAAAAATTGTTATGTTCTTAAATGAGTTAAAAAATGTATAGGATTTCAAAAATTCGATAGCGATTGTTTATACGTAAGAAATAAAAATCATATATTTTTATCTGAAACATTTTTTTTTTGTAAGTAATTAATCTATAAAATAATTTCAAACAATATACATATATATATATATATATATATTCTGTTTATACGTTCTATAATATACGATATGATATATTATTGTTAAAAAGAAATCACGATATCTTATTTGTTAAAATATATTAATTTATTGTTATTAGAATGCAATTTATTAACATTGTAAATGAAAAGATATTATATTTAAGTTAATAAGATATTTATATTTATAATATAAAATAATATATACAAATTTCTTAAATTTTTAAACAAAATCTACTGTTATTTAATTTTTGTATTCATTTACAAAATGTACTTTATTATCCATTTTTGTCCTTTCAGATTTAAAACGTTGTTACGAAAAAATGATTTCAATATAAGAATAAAATGAGAACAGAATTAAAATAATTGTATATAAATAAATGTTGATATTAATATTTCTTTTTTTTATTTGTTTAAAATCAATAATAACTATAAAAAAAATAATTATTTATACTGATATTTCGTGGACATAAAAATATTATGTAATGCTTATAAATGTCATAATTTAAACAGACAATTTAAAGATGTTAATTTGAAGGTATGTATTAATAATTATGAATACTCTTAATTATGTGTTTATATTCCTACAAAAAGACAAAGCAAACAATCGAATATGGCGCCAAATATCTATGATATATCATGTATATTGTATGACAAATTAAGGTAATACGCCATTGTCGCACACAATTTAAACGATTTTAAAATAGCGTACGTTTAATAACATTTACGTTTTATTACCGTGGAAGGAAATTGGTCAATCGTAATAAATTTACAATGAAAAAAAGAAATATAAAATTGTATAGAATGGATATTTATTGATGAAACATTTAATATTAAAGAAATATAAACGTACGAGTTTCTAACCTATTGTTTATTTTTGACAGATTTGTTGAATTTCGATTGTATTTTCATAACCTTTTGAAAGTAACGTTAACTTTTATCAAATTTTATCAACTGTTTAATGTTGTTGTAGATATTGTGCGAATATAGATATTAATACTGAAAATGACAACATCCTATACTCTAGGAAGTGATATCGTACATTTAAACGTAGGAGGAACTAGGTTTGTATTAAAAATACTACATATTTTTGATAAATATATTAATGAAAATGAAATATTATTAATTAAAGGTTTTCTACGTCTCAACAAACCTTGACATGGATACCTGATTCATTTTTCACTGCTTTACTCAGTAATCGAATTGCTAGTCATCAAGATTTGGATGGCGCATTATTTATTGATAGAGATCCACGAATGTTTTCTATCATTTTAAATTATTTACGTACCAAGGATATTAATTTAAAAAACGTTGACATTCGTTCTTTAAGACATGAAGCAGAATATTATGGTATTACGCCTTTGGTAAAGCGATTAATGTTATGCGAAGATTTAACTCAGTCTTCATGCGGTGATGTGCTTTTCTCTGGTTATTTACCACCACCTGGTTAGTATTATTTTATTGCTCTTTCTTGTTTATTTTTCTTTTATGTAAATTTGTATTTACCTTTAAGGTATTCCGTTACAAGAATCAGCAACAATTCCTCCAAATATCAGCGATGTTTCAGTTCACGGTAGAGTTACAACCACAACTTCTACACCTAGGACTGATACAGCCACTACTTCGCAACCTATAATATCTTCATGTCCTTGTAATCAAAATACAAATGGTAATTGTAAATATATGTTTTATTGTTCAATTATTTTATTTCAATTTAACTAACATTAAATTAAATTATATGTTACATGTTTTTAGGACAACAAAATCATAAAAGACCAATAGCTTCTCATGTACGCAATTCATCATTAGATTATAGACTTTCTCAACGTGGCTTACCTCATTCACGAACTCCATCTTTAGATTTGAGACATATTAGAAATAATTCGGCAGATTTAAATAAATTATACAAAAATGATGTTGGTGTAATATTTGGACCTCAACAGGGTAAAAATATATCAGTTTATATTTTTATTATTTATCTAAAATATATCATTACATAAATCTATTAGGTATTATATTACTCATTAATTTAGTTTCAGCTTGGGTAGATCCTTTAAGAGTGCAAATTATAAAAGCACATCATAATTGGATAGTTGTTGCTTATGCACATTTTATAACATGTTATCGATTAAAAGATTCATCTGGATGGCAGCATGCATTTACAAGTCCACACATTGAATCTATAATTGAGCGAGTAGCAATAAATGCAAAATTTGGTAGTGGATTTGACGGTAAAATGGTAGCTATTTCCTACGGAAGTCAAGTGAGATTATGGGGCGTTTCCGAATATGGGATTAAAACAAATATTGGTACTTTTAATTTGAATGTCCGTGTGGAATATTTATTTTTTATTGGTAGTCAATTAGTTGCTCTTTCACCTACTGGAAAGATTGGTGTCTGGCATGCAATGACGCATCATTGGCAAATCCAAGATGTAGAACCTATTCTATCATTTGACACTGCTGGCACATTTCTTCTTCTTGGTTGTAACAATGGTTCTATTTATTATATTGGTAAATACAGGAGAAATATTACGTATCCTTTATAAGTATTTCTTACAATAGTAACAAGTAATAAGTTATCTCGTATTTATATTACAGATATGCAAAAATTTCCTCTTAGAATGAAAGATAATGATCTTCTCGTAAGTGAATTGTATCGTGATCCAAGTTATGATCCTATTACTGCTATATCAGTCTATCTAACGCCAAAAACAAGTGAGTTGAAACATTCAACACATTGTCATATATATATATAATCTATTAATAATAATTTATTAAGTGTAAATTCATTAAATATCATTAAATAATTATTAATACTTTGATTAGCACATACATCAAATGAAATTTTATAATATTTTAATACATATTTTACTTAACTTTTAGTACGATATTATCACACGAATATGATATGAAATTCTTATTAGTCTCATGCCTTTAATTATTAAAGTAATAATAAAGTTAATATGCATATATAAAGGTTTTATGTATGTGTATACTTATGCCTGTAATAAGAAAAGCAATAACTTATCCTTCTTCCTTTGACACTATATATCAAGGCCCTTTTTT